TAGTAGACAGGTACGCGCACTGGGATTCAGAAGATGGACCATATAGCTTCATGTCTTGTTTTGTTATTTAATTTGGAGTCAATCTTTTGTGAATCTAATACATTGTAAACACTTTAATATTTATACAATGGTCGTTGTTACTTTGATTACTATGATGCATGTGTTGTGATACTAAGCATGACGTCCTCCGCCCCCCCCCCCCCCGAACGTTTCCGTCGTTCCGGTTTGGGGGTGTGACAGTTGGTATCAGAGCCACCTTGCAAGTTTGGTTAGATTTTTTGATTTTTAGAAATCTTAGTTTGTGGAGAATATGGCTAACTTGGTTTTGTATAAAAACAAGTTCATACATATTTTCTATGACAACTTTATAATTGTTATTTTATGTTCAGAAAAGTTTTCATGCATCTTTTGTCATTTTAAAGTTGTCTTAGAAAAACAAAGGTTGTTTAATGTGTATGTTGATATGTATGATGTGAATAAAATAGCTAATGACCATTGTGTTTGTTGTATTGTTGTGTTGGTTGTTTTATAAAAATTGTTGTAATAATTTATTTATTCATATGGTATGTAATAAATTAAATAGATTAGTTTTCTTGGTTCATTTTTGTAAGTTATAGATTAGTTTTTAGAATTAATTTATTTGTACAAAAATGTAACAAGAGATGAAGTTGGAGTCATTTTTGAAGACAAAAGAGCCATTTTCGAAGTTAAAATGTGTGCAGGATTTTCTGTGACAGCTTCTTAAAAACTGTCGCTAAAGCTGTTTTCTGAATGACTGTTGGACTTTTAGCGACTGTTGCTGAATTTTAGTTTTCAAGAAGTTCTTCAAATCTTTTGCAAGAAAATGATGTTTATTCAATTGGGAGCTTCTACAACAACATTAAAATAAGATTTTTGGTCCCTCAAAATGTCCTTTTAGAAATGGACTTTGCATTTTTGTGTTGGCTCACAAATATGTCATTAGTTGGTTGTGTTTATGCACATATATAATTTTATGCATGTTTGTATTGTTTATTTTATGCAAATATTATGTGGTTGATAAATTAGTTTTTCACATGCTCAAATCATTTTGGACAAAATAAACATCATGGAGTTTGGTTTTTAAAATTTATAATGTGGACATAAAAATCCGGTTTTATAAAAAAACGTTAATAACGTCAAATTTTGAAAGGAAGTTTTATTAAAGATATAAAAGGTTCAAATGCAGTCAAACTTAATACCGGTTATTAAAATTGAATCGCATTAAATTATATAAAAACTAGCTTTTATATAGAACCTATAAAAGTGATTTTCTCTTGAAATTGGTACCATAGTTTATTATATGCATGTAATAACCATGATATCATATGTTTTTAAAACTAGAATTATAAACCATATAAAAGTCCCTTTTGCAAACCTCAAATCTATGCAATCCATCTTGAAGAACACTCGTACATCTCTTGTATGCATTAGTGGGATAAAGGATACTTAACCGCTTAGTGTTATATTTTGATGACCGAAGTGTATTCGAGATTTCTATAACCAAGTTATAGGCCGATTACACAAGTTTTCCAAATTGGATGATTTGATCGGAAATGTTTTGTGAAAAAGGATACCTAAGCAAAAGAATTCTAAGGCATAAATGGGATCAAACACGTCCAATTAAATTTGTTATTAGCGATCCCATAAATCTAAGAACTATATAGTAAGATATAATTGATAATCGATATCTACCGGGTTGAATTCAAATGGATGGGATAAATGATACCTAACCATTTATTTGTTTTGCAACTTGGATCCTAAACTTTGATAATTAATGTTTTTGGAAACTAAAAGGGTATTAATTATTGAAGATTAAATATTGAAAATACTAAATGAATTTTGTTAAAATTTTATAGTTAAATAATTCATTCTCATTACCATGAAATTGTCATTTTCTTTAATGAATTAATGAAACAATAACATTCACTAGATACAACTTCAATGAAATTGTATACACTTAAAGGTCGTAGTCCTAAACTATTTGCTTTGGGCTTATATAGCGGCTACTAACGATAAGAATAAAGAAACGAGTCCAATCGTCATTCTCTTTGGTAGGGCATAGAGAAAGTCACCCTCTGCATAACGTGAAGTAAGTATCCCTAAGAACATCAACACTGAAGTAGTCGAAGAGAATAATGCATTGGCATCTGATACGATAAAAAGCATAAAGACTCAATCATCTAAGAACAAAGGTTTCCCATTATCTTGGTTTCCACCAGGGACAGTGAACGCAACTGCAAATGTCATTGTTACTGTGAGTGCTGCTACTACGGTGCATGAAGACGCTGTGTCTTTCATCCATTCCTGCCTTTCTTTAAGTAAGTCTTTATGTTTATTAGTGAAAACCATTCTTGGGGTTTGTTTTCTGTATTCAAGGCTTCTTTATATGAGGGCTCTATAAATTTTTCGACTTCCTGCACAAATATGAATTAATGTTACTTTTTTATGAATAAAAATGTATTAACTATATTACAAAAGACAGTGAATAGTTTTCATTATTTTTAATTAGTACTTAACTATATTTTATAGGGATTATACAAATATATATTTTTTGTAACATTTTAATAAACAATTTTAAGTTTCTCTTGTTAGTTACCTGATTTTGAAAAAGTGATCATTAAAAAAAAATAACAGATTAGCACCATTTTGTTGATTTGTTTGTAAATAGATTATCTTTTATGAAAAACCGTGTGATGGGAAAAATGGTTTTTTTTAAATGGCAATAATAAACTGTGGTGTGTGATCACTAGAAAAAATGGTTAAGTGCTAATCCATGAAATGATGATCGATTAAAATGCTTTTTGAATTTTTTTTCCCATTACAGTATTACAATATGCAGATGAGATTTCTTTAGTATAAAGAGATGGAGATCAAATGACTATAATCACCTTAAACCATTGAAGCTCATGTCGCATTTGCAGAGCTGCACCCGTGACAACATTTAGTCGATGAGGTGGGGCTAAGTTAGCGGCCATGTGTAAGGAGTTCTGGTTTTTCTTATCAAGCTGAGTCGCTACAAATACTTTGTGAGCAGACATTTGGTTTATAAGATTGTAGACTCGTTCTTGGCGTTCCTTGATTGCTGCATGAAACAAGTAAAACCCTTCGACACTATACCAGATTATGCCCGAGTAAGTTAATATACACTCTTCGATAAGTTCATAAGCCCCGTATTTGACATTTGTACTTATCGCAGATCCTAAAATCATCCAAACTTTTTCATGATCGACCATTCCTATAACAATTTCACATATACGTTGTACTAGAAGGTTGCTCTGATCATGCATTACCTTGCTATCATGGATGTTCTTGATTGCTGGAGCTGGAGTTATAAACAACATGTGATCCAAACTTTAGAGATGATACTTGAGTATAAGCAACATGAGTTATGGATGCGTAGCGTACCTATGAAATGAAGGCCACTCCAAAATGCCACAACAAACTGTTCAAGGAAAAAATATATAAATTAAATATATCCATAAATATATATCAATCCGTTTTTATAAAAAATGTATACAAACACATATTTTATTAAAACAATGTATACAAACACCTAATAAATGCATTTTTATACAAACATGTTTTATAAACAATAAACAAGATGTATAAAAACATGTATTTTATAAATATGTATAAAAATAAGTCTTAATAAAAAAATATTTATGCAAACACCTATTTCATAGTAAATGTATTTGTATACATTTATGCATTGAAACGTGTTTAGATCAAAACATGTTTGTATAAATATGTGTTTGTATATATATTTTTTAATAAAAAATCATGTTTGTATAAAAACGTGTTTGTATACATAAATATACAAAAATACGTTTACTATGAAATAGGTCTTTGTATATATTTTATTTTATAAAAACGTTTTTGTATATAATTTTACAAAGTACATGCATGTATATATAACTTTTTTAAAAACATGTTTATATACAAATGCATTTATTCAAAATAGGTGTTTTTTGACATTTTATTTTCTAAAATGTGTTTATATATA